CTAAGCTGTGGATTTGCAATTAGAACTATCAATTATCATAATTATGTAGCAAATAAAAATGGGAACTAGAAATATCAAAGCATACGATCAAGTTATGCACGCAGGTATGCGAAGAACATTCAGCTGATCAGACCAAACAATTCCAAAGAAGAAATCCAACGCTCATTGGATCAGAGAACAAACAAAAAAAATTTTACTAACCTTTTCCAGAGGTTTTAGATAATGCATTGTGACTGCTCGATGCCTACATTTCTGCAGGTAAATAACTTGCGGCCTCCCAGTCATAGAATGAAGTTATTTGCTTGTTGCCATTGATGATACGGTTGTAAACTGGAAAGCAGGCAGGCAGCTGAAAAAAGAAAATCTGTTACTTCATGAAGTAACTAAAAACTCCTTGAATCTTGAAGTGTTTCTAGATTCTGCCTTTTAGCTGGGAGGTATCACATACTGCTAGTTTGATGAACTTTCAAAAAAAAAAAAAAAATAGCATTGATGATCAATATTAAAATTGACACCAAAAAAAAAAAAATAAAAAAAATAAAAGGAAAAAAAAAAGGTATTTCATAGTAGGCCTGAAATGGGGTTCAGGTGAGAGCTAAATTGGCTTTGATTGTGACTAATGACTTCCAGCTTGGAATGCTGATTATACTACTTGAAATGCACAGTAACAGTACCATAATTCGTGTTCAGAAGTTCAGAACATTGATAGCCTATTCTGATAATCTATTCTTGAATCTTATATCTTTTTTCAAATGAAGCTCCATTAAGCAAAACTGGTTTAACATTTAAAAGTTATTATCTAAGCTTTGTTTATTACGGAAGAGATTCGTAGAGCACCAACAACCGAGAGCAGTCCCTGCAGGAAGTGCACGCGGTAAGTAAGGCAGGCAGCCACGAGGTGGTGCTGGCGGCTCACGGCTCCCGGGCAACGAGCGGGGAGCTCTGAAGAAGTTGCAAAAGCAAGGCGGCTGGAGAACGCTGCGCTACGGTAACCATCGCGGCGGTACAAATGCTTGAGAGGCCACGGCTGTTGTCGATAAGTACGTCCATTACAGCACGAGTTACAAAAAGCAGCAATTTCAAAAATGCTATGGGGCAGTTGGTAATGCTAATATTTGTATGTTCTCATGTCACAAAATGTAACTTTCAATGCTTATTTGATACTTTTACTGAATTGCTCGTTAAATGTACTACTGAAAAACTACATTAATTAAGTATCAATGCAACAATTTAAACAAAAACTAATGTCACGTACCTAATTCATAATGTGTGTAAAAATTAACTTTAAAAAGGTTCAGGACCAGTGTTCAATTACATGTTCAACGTAATGGTTACTTAGACTGATATTAAAGTACGGGTGATTTCTCTTGGTGCAGCTCAAAACAAAAGGGATGAAATTAGAGCTGCAGAACACTTTCTTGTTCTGTTAAACTGTGATTTGATGAGGATTTTGATATAGTTGTTATGAGAATGACAGAAACTTCAGGCTATCAGCTATAAATTGTGAGCTACCAGCTGGCAATTTTGTCATTCACTATTTTGTAATTGTCGCTTTAATTGTAGATGTTTGGAAGGCTTAAAAGAAACATGCAATTTGACTTGAAGTTTTAAAGTGAGGATGAAAAGTAGGAAAAGGCAACATAGGAAAAGGCAACATACAAAGGTACAAAACAAGATACAAACATAAAAAGGCAACATAGCACACAAGATGCTAGTCTACTTATAGTGTGACTTTCACTACAGTTCAGTTCTGAACTTCTTCACCTATCTCCACTAGAGTCTGTACACCTCCATAACTGGACCCCTACCTATTACATGTATCTAGGAATTTCATTCTGAGTCTCCCAGACCATTGAATAAATAGCATACAATGTGACAAATCGGAGTAAAAGTAATGGAAAATGCCAGCTTTTATACAGGAGTATCTTGTATTTAAAACAGACTCTAGATAGACTACTTATTTATGTTCCCCAAGTAATCATGCAAAGCCTCTGAAGGCTAGTTAACATGAAATTAGCACGAAAACTGCAAGAGATGTCTTTGTTTAGCTAACATGTCTGAAACAGTGAGACCAAATGATTTGGATGAGGTCAGCCACTAATAGCCTAGAGTGGATTAGAAACAGCATGTTACTGGCCCTCAATCTGTTGCTGTAATTACTGAACTACGTGATTTCTTTGCAACAGAACTGCAGCACCACTGTACTTGGAATTCAGAGTAATAACCCAGAGACTGTGAATTCTATATACTTAAAGGTGAAAGTGCCTCATCTCAAAAAGAAAAAAGAAAAGCAGAACACTTCAGTAATAGATATCAACTTGAAAACGCAGGATTAAAATTCCTCTTTTAGATGTTGCACCAGCAAGCGTAACATGTCTGCAGATTGTACAGAATGTAGGGCTCTGAAATGAGGAGTAGGAATGTCAACAAACAAAAAAGCAATCCTCATGCTTACGTTGCTTAACCTCCTCCAAATGAATTAAGCAGCTAGTAATCAGATTCTCAGTAGGCTGCTATTACTCACTTGTTTCCTATAGCATTCAGGATCTTGAGCATAGAAGCAAAACAGTTATCAGCTCACATTATAGTGTTCAGATTCACTAAGCAATTAGTAGGTAAAGATTAAGGCATATTTAATCTGATTTGTTTTATAAAGGCATAAAATCTCCTCTTTGTAATTACTTCATTATTTGACACAGACTACTTACCTGCTTCCATAGATAAGACTTAGAAGATATACATTTACATTTTATACATTCAGTAGTGTACAGTTTAAATTCATAACAAAGTGGGACAAAAGCATTGGTCTCTATCAAATTACATGCACTACAAAAGATAAACTCTCTGACCTTGTCTTTCTATGCTCTTCTACAACCACTTACAAGTAAAATCTAGTTTCCTACAAGCTAAGTACTCCCACATTTCAAGGAATCTTTGTATGTAGCCAAGCTCTAAATACTGTTATTATGCAGCTATTGGATCTTTTATAATGCTGGTGAAAAATCTTACGGTATTATGATAAAAACTTTGTGCCATTTGACAAATCTGTATTACAAGAAGCTTATTAGCAACTAACTGGTGCAAGTGTTTTATATTCATAACTAATAGATGTGATTTGTAAAACAGAATCAAGCAGTATCCTAGTTGGTGCTAATTCAATATGGAAAAGAGAAGTTCTGATAACAATTGAATGTTTTAAATGATTTTTCATATAGGGTCCGTGTCTGTTTTAAATATCAGCTGCTAAACATGGCTGTGGGACTGAAATGAGGGAGAAGCAGCATCTGTTTCAGTTGTTTGGTAATTTAGCACTTAATGTTGGATAATTGATCTGATGGAGTAATCATATTAATATGTAGCATTTACAATGCATTCTACATTTTTCAAAGCTGCACTCAAATAACTGCCAGGAGAACTATATAGAGTTGTTAATTCAGCCACTGCTATCCTTGTTTTAAAACAAGGGGGCTGAGCCGTAGGTATTTGGAGTGGCTAATCACACAACCAATGCTGCAGAATCAGGATTAGACCAGAGGAATCTCTTGCTTCCTGACCCAGCTCTAATCAAGTTGGCATTCTTGCCTGTCTAGACCATTCTGTTTTTAACTATTAATCCCATTTCTATTGACAGAAGCTAGACCCACATGCTTTGATTAAACAGTAGAAGTATATATAGTAATATATGGTTCTGACTGTTTCCTTTTCATTGCCATCTTCTGTAGAGTTCTGTACCATATGCTTATTTTCCAAGCCCCAGCTATCATAAGACGTCTATTTTTGTCTTGGTTCCTGCAAATAGGATTGTTACCCATGCACCTACTTACAGCCTGTTGCTTGAATTTGGCTTTGTGTTACATGAGTAGATCTCTAAAGGCAGAATTTGCTTCAGTGTGTTCCTATGTGGTGGCTTTTCTTGTGCATGTTACGTTAGATATGAGAACACATCGTCCATACACACTGGTGTCATTAGAGAGGGTGCAAGCATATATAAATTTATCATTTAACCACTGCTTTAAAAATGAACGTTCCTCAGGCTTCCTTTTAGAGCCAACAAAAGGGCTCCAATGCCCATGTTTTACTGTTGCTGCTTGGACTCCACCAACAGAAATGCACAATGGAACAGTCCAGCTGATGAGTTTTGCTCTTTTGTGGATGTTATTCACAGCTATGAATTCTGGGCAACCTACTGCTATGAAATTCCTGTCTGGCCTCCCTGTCTGGTGGAGCAAAGGAAGATGAGCAGATCCCAATACGTGCTAGGGAGAAAGGAGCAAGCAGGACCAGTGTAGTTAATGCCTGTGCTGTAAGCTCTGCCATTTGCTGCTGAGACTTCAGAGGAATTTTGAGGATAAGTTCCACTGAGGGGAAAGCACAGTTTGGTTAATTAGAAGGCTGTAACGTTTCCTCGGGACAGCAGTCTCCGCTGAAGAATGGATCTTCTTAACGAGGCACAAAGGAGATACTTCATGTGCTCTGCTGTCAAGACCAAGAACTCTCCTCTAAAATATTGCAGGGTAGCAGATTGCTCCTCCGCTTCGCAGCACTCCTAGATGATTTGCAATGGTTTCTGTATCTCACAATTTACTCTGTGCTCTTTAAACGACGCACTGCCACGTAGGGCTTTGCAGCTGAACGCAGTCCTCAAGGATGCCGTACGCCAGCTACGCACCGCTAAACAAACACAAGCAAGGGCTGATTAACTTCTCAGAACCTCCCACTCTGTCTGCGCAGATACCATCCGCTCCCTCACAGACGCTTTCGCGCCCACGCTACACATAACGGTCGCCACGGGCACGCGCCCGCTTAAGCGCACGCGCAGTTCCCCCCCAGCGGGCAGGCGGCAGCGCGCACGCGTGCTCTCTGCAGAGCGCGGCTGGCGGGGGCGGCTCTCGCGATACTTGAGGCGGGGCGACGGAGGCGAGTTTGAACGGTGGCAACGGTGGCGGCGCGGGGCGAGCGCGGGGCTGAGGTAGCCGGAGGGGAGCGGAGCGGCAGGGCGCGGGGCTGTCTTTTGCGCGAGGGTTTTGCTGTCTGTTATTACTCCTTCTGCGTTCTCCAGCGGCCCCGGGGATGCTGAGCGAACGGGGCTGCGCGCTGCCTGTATCGTTAACGTGACGTAACGGCCTGCGTTAGAGAGCTGAGACAGCGCTGAGGTGGGCCGGTTGCTGAGGTGACGTGCTTGTGGACCGGGTGCTGAAAGGTCAGATTGCAGCCTGACCCGTCTTTTGTCTTTGTAATACTTGTCCGCCCAGCAGTGCGTATGGCAGAAGCCAGCACAGCCCTGCAAATCGCTTGGTGGATGATGAAGTAGAGTTGTTCGAGTAACCAAAGCAGTCTGTAAGGGGAAGATCTGGCCTCAAAGACAGGAATTGCCTTGGATCTTACAGCTGTAGTCTGACACCCATCAGTACTTCTGGTTGGGTCTGTGCTTAGGTGGCTGCTGTTTGTGAGCCCTGGGGTTGGCAGTGAAAATAGAAGGAAGATACAGAAGGGAAAAGAAAGTTTAAGTGCCAGGAAAGTGCCTTTTTGTCTCTCACCTGTTATTTGTTGTAAGGAGTGGTAAATGGCTGAATAATGGGTGTCTGGACACTTCTACACTGAATCTGTTATAAACTGTAGCCAAAAGTAAGTGACTCCTGTAAGGGTGTAAATGCAGACTGACTTCTGTTGTTCCTTCTTGCCCGCCCACTTCGTTAGCTATTGATTTAACTTGAAAAACTTTTCAGATCAATTCACTTAACCTCGTGTAGAACATGAAGTAGCAATCTATTCCCCATACCACACTGTAGCTTTATGAACAACACTTCCTGGTCCAATTGAGTTCATCCCAAATAAGGCAGAGAAAAGTTGAGGTTCCCTGTTATCCCAAAGACATACTTATTCTTCTTCCTTGTACTCAGCAAGAAATTTGTGAATAGGGAACCAATGGGGTTTTTTTAAGCTTCAGTTAGAACATTTTTTAATTTCATTACATCCTTCTGGTGTTATTCAGTAAATGATCTGTTGACAACCAAAAGAAATTGTCTTTGAAACTGCAGGAAACATCGGAGGAGAGACTGAAGAAATGGATGGTAGCAAGGCAAATTCACGCGTGGTCCCTAGAAATGCCATTGGTGCTGGAAAAAGGCAGCCCTGGGTGTAGCCCTGCTTCCCAACTTGGGAAGACAATTGCAGTGCGTCTTTCCTTCGGCAGCAGTGCCAGATTTAGCTGTTCCTCTACTACCTGACAGCTGTCTTAACAGAGGTTTGAGTAAGATTTGCCTTTCTGTGGGGTTTTAGCAGGTGATCTCATTTCCGTGAGACGGCCGCGGTCATTGAGCTCTTAAGACAGGGACTGCTGTGAAGGTATCAGCAATGTGTACTTTATCTGGACTGGACAGCTGTGTTTGTTGTTTGTTCCGCAGGGCATGAAGGTTAAGTGAAGCTTAAATGGACTTTTGAAGGTGAGTTAAAAATATTACTGAAATTTAATGTTAGCCAGGGGCAATTAAATTATTTCTAATCTTCACGTGTTTCTGTTGGAGCAAACAAGTTATTTTATTTTATTTTATTTTTTTTAATTTCTGTTTATTAGGTAAGAGTTAATTAACGCCCTTTGGTGCAAATGCCTGCAGGGACTTTTGTCTAGTTTTACTTATGCTACCTTCTTGCCTTTAACAAGAATTAGTTAAAGATTAAATTCCAGGCAGTGTGTGTCTGTGTAATACTTCCAGTGTTCTATAGAGTGTTACAGGTTCTCCTTACATATTATGTGTATGTCAAATCTGTATGGTTTAAGATTTATTTCAGGTTAAGGGTGTAGAACTGCTGTTTCAAGTACTGGAATAAGTAGACATGAAAAAATAGTTTCTAAGTTTAACATAAAGAACAAATTAGGGAAAATTAATACTGATTTCCATCTTGTCTCTGTTGAAAGGAACTCACAGGGTTCTAATGCAAAGGTTTTCTGTCTGTTAAAATGGTATCTTATAAAGGAAGCTGAGGAGCTTTAGTGGGATTATTTTTGGTACAGCTTGCAAAGAACGAAGATATTACCCTGAAAACTTACTTACAGTCTTTGCTGTATTCACAAGTGAAATTTGCTCTACATTAAGACCAGCATCTTGTGCATAGGATATCTTTGTGCATGTCAGCCAGTAGGAATGAAGGACCTTATGATTTTTTTTGAAGTGATATAAAAATTAAGATCATTGGCTCTGCGAAATTGACTGTAGTTTTTGTGTTATTGTTACTGTGTGCTTTCTGAGAAAATGCTTAGCTTACATGGTTCAGAAGCTCGAGTTTACTTAGAGATCTCTGTTTTAATGGGATTGTTTTGTACTGCATGGATTTAGAAGGCTTAGGAGTAAGCAGTCGTGCAAGCAATTGGTGCAAGTGTGAAATGAACTTTGCTTTTTAAATATTTTGCTTGAATCCGTGTTTTTCTTTCTGAAAAATCGTCCTTTACTTATCTCTTATGTTTTGATATGAAGATGAAAAATTAATGAATTTTCTAAAACTTGTGACAGACAGACGGTTAGTAAAAGTAGGCTACCTGAACTAACTTTAGTTTAAAGCTAATAACACTCATGACAAACAAAAGTAAGCGCTTAAATAAAAATCTCTGTGTTAAAATTCATACATTCTAATCTGGACTTTTTACTTTCCTTCAACTGCCTCTGCCCATTTCCATGTCCTACTTGGTGTCATTAGGAGTAAAACGTTTGTGAATACAACTGTCTGCATGTCTTAAGTGTTATTGCATGCACATGGTTTTATTTATGATAATGTGGAAGACATCACTCACATGAATAATGGTTTTTAGCCTTCTCTGTCAAGGTAGCTATGTGTTGGGTATCTCTGATTCTGCTGCAGTTGCTGTGTTGTCAGGAACTGCTTTAGGGTATGCAGGACTTGTTCCAGCATATGCTGTTCCTGCTCTGCAGTCACGACCAAGTTGACAAACTAATCATGTTATTATTCACAGGACTGCTTGTTAGAAAGCTGACCGCTTTTTGTCTTGTGCTGATGCAAACATGCACCTCTGTATCCTAATAAAGCATGGAAATACAGTAACTTTGTTCAGTTGAACTGCTGTAGCAGGTTGCTATTGTAATTTTTTTTTTTCTTTTCAAATTGAGGTAATAATAGGAAGAAAAAATGGAGACAGAGACCATTTTAAATCTTAGACAGCAACTGAAAGAAGCAGAGAACGAGCGAAGGAAGGCTGCACAATATGGCTTACACTTGTTGGAGTCTCAAAATGAAATTCAGAATCAGTTGGATCAAATACGTCGGGAACTAACGGAGAAGACTGAGGTGAAGGTTTTAAGTAAAAGACTAAGAAGTTACTTCTATTTTCTGAAAGTCACAAGTGTTTTAAATGCCTTCTAGAATTTCTAGATGGACCTTAATTAAACTCCTTATTTTAAGTATCAGGAGGGTTTTTGATCATCGCTTTAAGATACTGAGCACAATTTTATCCAGCTGGGCATGGTTTCAGAGCTCATTCTGCATCGAGTGCTCAGTACCACGTAGGATTAATTACCTCTTATTAAAAATGAATAGTAGTTGCTGAAGTGTGTGTTGGGTCTGTTTAACGATTTGTGATATGCTTGCCTTGTGATCTTTGTGTTGCTTAAAGCTGTACAGAAGGCTTTGGACCACCAAGGTGGTGAAATTGGTTTCATTTGCTGTACATGCTTCAAATTTTCTACATACTGCAGGGCTCTGTATTTTAGTACATTTCTTTACAGCTTAGAAGTAGCTAAGTGTTAAAATATAGCAATGTTAATTAGTCTTCCAGTCTTTTAGGTAATTGTGAGAGAAAATTGAAGTGTAAGGAATCTTTTTCTGCTTTGTTAAACGGTTTAATTTTGGCTTGTTTATTCTCAGCCTAGACTTCAAATCTTCTGTTTGTCTTTATTTGCTCCTAGCTGTGCATTGCTGTCTCCTCCGTTGTGCTGGAGCTAAAATGTGTATTTTTCTCCTGGCCAACTGTTGTGTTGTAGCACCCTGCTGTTCTGGAGGAGCACTAATAACTTATTTTGATTGGTTTGCCATTAGCAGGCTTAGTGCAAGAGAGGCAGTTAGAAATTACAAGTGATAAAGAAGGCATGACAGGATGATCCTTCTGTGCAGGCAGCCTGCTGTGGTACTGCTCTGTTGTGAAGCTGCACCGTGGGTTGCATTCCACCACTACAGACTTGAGCAAATCTGAGCTAGGCTTGTGTGCACTAGATCCATAACGGAGTTCAATTTCAAGGGCTGGGGGAGGGAATTGTTTGCTTTTGTATTGCACAAAAACGTGTGAAAATCGTGATTATCCAACGGATAATTTAGGAAATGATTTCTGCTTTTACCTGTGGAATCTGAGAACCAAAACAACGCTCATGGATACAAATGTGAATTTTAACAATGGGTACAAGATTCTTCAGAGAAGTTTTGCATGCGCTTCTCTACAAGTCCATTTAGGTACTTGATAGCATTAGACTTCTTGCTTTCCATGGGTCTGCACTACAGTGCGTTGCCAAACGCTGTCTTTGAAGCTTGTTCTATGTATTCAAGGTAAATGTGTCCTTGCTAAGCAGGTGTCTAGGCTGCAGGGATGGATTTCATACCTGACAGGTCTGTTTTATGTTCTTCTATCTTCTGATTTGACTTTAAAATTTATTTATTAATAAAACATCCTGCACTTGTAGACTCTCTAGGTGATTTACCTTTTCTACGTTAGTGTTTTCTTCTCCTTCTGCTTAATGGCTAGCTGAAGGAAGAGTGCATTGAAGGAGATATTTGGCACAGAGGAGGAAGGTAATTAGGAAGGCATTTTTCAATCTGGACAGGCTCATCGGATTTATCACTATCTATTGTCACATTATAACACTAGGAAGCTTTGTCTTTACCAGGCACAGAACCCAGCTGTTCTGCAGCAGGGGAACATTCAGCGTAGCGTAACAGCTCTTAATGCAGTTGGATTCCATCAGTGGTAGAAATACAACATGAGAACTCAAAGTTTTCTGCCTCTCCCTCTCTTCCCCTCACCCTCCCAAAAATAAAATTACAAAGTTTTCAGAACTATTTTGAGTAGGAAGAAACACAGTTTCCACAGAGGAGAGAATATTACATAATCCACTACCAATTCAATCATAAAAATTCAGAGTGGGGGGGATTGAGTTTTCCTACTCCTTGTTAGTAGGGCATGAGAATTCCCTAAATGGATCTTCAACAAAAGGTTGAGTGAATTTTGTGCTTTTAGTAGCTGGGGTCTTGATGTAGAACCTTTACTCAGTGAATTGTTCTGCATGAACATTTTCTCTAGACTTATTAGCATGTTATTTCTTTCAGAAATTTGAACAAGAGAAATATTCTCTTCAGAGAGAAATCGAACTTAAGAATAGGATGTTGGAAAGCCTGAGTTTTGAATGTGATGCCCTCAAGCAACAGCAAAATGTGCAACTGGATAAACAGAAAGAACAGCTTACCAGAGCTCATGGACAAGAAGTCAATGACCTTAAATACAAGGTTTGGTATCTAATATACATATAACATGTTGCTAATAGCACTTGAAGAAGTGTTATACTCAGGAGCATGTACTTGTAAGCAGACAAATGTAGCAGTTGTGTTGTGTAGCCATGCTTTAGTTTGCCCTGTAAGTTCAGCAGTTCACCTCTGAGCTGAGCTTATGCTTTATTTTCAGCTACCGTTACGAAAGAGTTAAAATTATCATGATGACTTTTATTCAGATCAAATCTTGAGTAAACACTTCAGGAAACTAAGGCTGAAGTTGTTGATTAAAGAGCAGAGAAAACGCATTCTTAAACTTGTCAAAGAATGTTGTCACAGAACCAAATTATTGACATTAAGACGAGGGCTCATTTAGTTGATGTTTAACAAACAAATCTGCATAGTTACACTGAATTGCATCTGATTTTAAGGCTTATTTTTAAGAGATGACCCTTCAGTTGCACTCGTAAGGCATTTCTACAATTAGAACGTAAGCCAGAAGCATTGTGCTTTCGACTATTTAATTATAAGAGTTTACTTAGTTCTCAAATGTCTTTAAGTTGGAGAATCTGAAGGCAGAACTAGATGAAACTCGGCTCTCTGAGAAACAACTGAGGCACAAAGTGGACCATCAGAAGGAAATAATTGCTGCCAAAACAGAAGAGCTGCACATGATGTCTGAACGCGTGCATGAAACCATGTCTTCAGAAATGCTCAATCTTCAGATGGAGCTCACAGAACTAGAAAGTGTGAAGGTATGTGACTTAGCAGTTGATCAACAGGAATCCGAGCTACTTGAAGGTAAAAATTCTGATTCTTATTGAGTTTTAATCGCTGTGTATATTTAGCCAGTTGGATTGGCCTTGTGGTAAGAAATTATCCACCAAAAAAGCACAATAGTTTTAAGTACGTTTTAATACAATCCCTTCCACATAATATTTTTGCATTAATGGCAGTTATTAGCAACAAACCTGTTTGGCTCCTTGGCCTGCTTTTCTTGAAACTGTTTAATAAGCTTTTTATTTCATGCCTGATTTTTGTGTTTAGGCCAGTGTTGAAGAAAAGCTGAATGAACTGCAGTACAGCAAAGAGCAACTAGAACTCATCAACAGTAACTTACGTAATCAGCTGGAGCGTCTACAAGCAGAAAAGGAAGAGAGGGAAAAAGAAGTTGTTTCTTACTGTAATGCACTAGAGGTAATTTTATTCAACCGTGCTGAATAATCCCTGAGTTCAACAAGTAGCTGATGCTAGATTTCCTCTGAAATAGGAAGAGGAGCCCTGAGAAGAATTCTGACTGGGAGGGAGGAAAGAGAGAGGATCTATTGGCTAAATTATGCTTAGTAGATCGATGTGACCTGTAAATAAGTTATTTCTATACTGATGTTCTCTTGTGGAAGGCTATGTGTGAAGATCCTTTGCACTGCAATATTCTGCCTCATAAGAGGAACTTGTAGCAGGTCACATATTTCCATTTCTATTTCGCATTCCTGCTGAATGCCTTGCGAGATGCTGTACTAGGCAGTAGCAGGTATGTGACTCAGTATCACAGAAAGGCTGGTAGTTTGCATCATCATTCCAGCTGAAAAAGCTCTGAGTCTTTCTCTCAAGGGTTCAGTAAAGCTCTTGTCTTGAAGAGCAAGTGGAATATTAGGCCTTCTAGTGAAACAACTTCCACAGTCTTTATGGCTAGAACTACATACACAGCTAAATGCTGTAGTATGAGTATTTACTTGTGCTAAATGCCTAAGAAATTAACATATATAACAACTTGATTAAATTATGGATCTGATGTATTGCATATTGAAGTAATGCTCTCTTTGCTTAAATCTAGAAAGCTCGTGAAGCTAATCAAGAGCTTCAGGTTCAGCTGGATCATGTGGTGCAGCAGTCTTTGGACCCTGCAAGTAAAGGCAATTCTCTCTTTGCTGAGGTACAGCTGTGCCATGGGTATCTGGGAATATTCAGAGGAGGGAAGATAAACTTCATCATAAGAATTGGAAAGAACTTGTTTTCAGTGCAACACCTGATTATTTTTAACTGATCTGTCTGGCACAAGTATCTGTTCTTCCAATAATCCTTCAGTATTGAATTGTCTGGGAATGCCTGTAGAAAAGAGTTTTTATGCATTTTCTAAGGTTGGGGAGTGAAGTCATTAAAGTTGACTGGTTGTCAAGATGAAAGATGGCAGTCTGCAGCTCTTGGCTCTGAAGAGTTTTATTCAGCTGGTAATCTTTCCTTAATGCAGAAGATAAATGTTGAAAAACCTAAATACTGGTTTTTTTAAAGCTGCTGAACAATGGCTGGATGTTGGAGCGTTTGGCAGGGTTTGTGAACTAGCCTTTGAATAGGAGTTGAGCTGGTACTGAATGCCAGCCTTTTCTGACCACGCTCAGTGAATGGCTTGAGTTGATGCACTGTTCGTATTTAAGTTGCTTGCTTCGATTTAAATCAGAACAAATCTGTAGTGAAGCTGATGCTTTTAAAATATTATTCCAATATCAAAAGTGCAGAGAAATCCCTTCTACTTTACCAATGGCCTTCAGCTGCTTGCAGCACTGTCTGCTCACTGTTTATCTCACAAGTGTTGCTAATAGCACACTGCTGATGGGAAAGCAGGATTTTCAGAACCAACATCAATTTCTAGGCACCTTCTCTTGAAACTCAGAATCCAAGTGACAACATGTTATCGTTTTCATAGTAATAATTGTGAAAAATGTTCTGTAGGTGGAGGACCGTAGGGCAGAAATGGAACGACAGCTGATCAGTGTGAAAATAAAATATCAGTCACTACAAAAACAACATGCATTCACTAGAGAACAATTGCAAAGAATGAAGGTATGATTATCACTGTAATGCTCCAGGGTTTCCTTGGGGTCTGATAAGTCAATGCTTTAGAATGTAGGCTAGGAGGTCTGATTCTCTCAAGTATGGTAGCATCAGTCTGGGTGGATGGGCGGGGAGGAGCAGGAGACATCATTGCTTTTAACTCAAGTAGAGCTCATCAGCCTTCTTCCAGTGCCACTTCTTTATTCTAGAATGCCAAGTTGCACTGAAGAAGCTGTGCTTACTTTAGCAGTAGTTTACTGGGTAAAGTATAACAGTTTCTGTCACTCAAACTAGCTTTCAGTTTGTCTTGCCTGTTGCTTTGTTTTTTGTTTGTTAGTATGTCAATGAATTATTTGTTTTAATTGAGGCTATTAGGAGTAAACAACCTTCTCTTCCTCCTGTGATCACACCTTTTTCCTTCTGAGTTGCTTTCTTGGTTGTTTTCTTCCTACTTTTCCTATACTCAATGCAAGAGCAAGAGTTCTAAGTCTTCTCACAACTGTTTCAGTTAGCCCGTTTTCTTAGATTGGCAGCTTGTAAGTTAATAAATATTGTTGAGAAAGCTAGTTAGCAGAAGCTGTTTTGCAGCATCCCATTTACACTATCATGTAAAACTGCCATCTGTTTTCATGTTGGCTTTCTAATCTCACAGTACAGGAGTGGATTCTTTGAGTTTGATCATGCATCTTGTCTGAGAACAGTGCTGAAACAGAAGTGATGATAATGAGTAGCACTGCACAGCTGTGTAGCTTAACCAAAGTTGAAAGTAAATAAGATGTCTGAGTAAGATCAGTTTTAGAATCTCCCTTCCTCCTTGTGCAGTGTGGGCGATGGCCATTCAGCCAGTTATGAACATTGTATTCTGAAAGGCTTTACCTGGCACTGAAGTAAATTGGTATCCCTGTTCTCTTAATGTTGGAATTCATAATTTCAGTGGCTCAGGCTGCCTTCTTAGATCCCTTTTAGTATCTCTTCTGTTTTGCATTGCATCGTGCTGCTGTGTTAAACTCAGTGTTGAATTAACTGATTTCTCCTTGTTCAGCAGCTGGCTCCAATATTGTAGTTAGCTGTGTTATTTGAGCCTCTGTTGTCAGAATGTTTGAGTGTGGTATTGGCTGATAACGTGTGAGGATCTGACTTAGGACCGTAATGTGAATGCTGCTCCCATAGAGGTTTCCTCATGTCTGGAGTGTTCCCATAGCTTGCAGTAGCCCTTCCGGTTTCTTAATTTTTCTAATTGTTTTTTTATGTAGATGAACTGCTGTTGTCAGTCTTGACAGTTAGCAAATGAGCACTTAAGTGAAGGGGAAACATCAGGATTCTACATCCTTGGGAGAAAACGAGTGCACTTCTAGTGAGCCAGTGGGGATTAAAATGTTGTGTTCCCCTTTTCTCTTGCACAAGTTACAAGGAGGAAATTGAATTGTTTTTAATTCCAGTTTGAACACATAACTGTTAATATCCTTTATTTTCTATTTGAAAGGTAGAAGATGGCGTAGGGTAGATGTTCTTCTGCAGTTTTCTTTGTTAATCTGCAGTCTAACTTGCTTCTGTTGATCCTTTCCCTGGGACTTCTCCCACGTGTCTTTCAGTGGTGCTCTGTCCACGCTCACTTGTCTGGTGACAATGCCACAGTTCCCATTAACGCCATGTTCCATGTGTGCACGCCTGCGTGTCCTTTTCCTGTGTGAATGCCTGTTGTGCCACTTACTACTGACTGTGTTAAGGACCTTCTGTCGTGTTGCTGTGATACTAAGTGTCAGAAAAATCTGCTGTAAATATGAGAGTTGGATACGCTTCTCCTTTTGTAATGAAAAAGGATATTTCTGTGCTTGGAAGGGTTACATTTTGGGATAAGTAATACAGAATATAAACGTAAAATACCATCTATTCCTCAGAATTAGAAATGCAAAAAAAGAGTTATGTTCTATTTTTGTTTGCTTTTTCTTCACTTTTTGGAGTGCTGGAGTATTTTAAGTGAGAAATTCTTCATAGATATGTTTAGCTTTCAAGGGGCTGGGTTGTAGTGGGGTTCTTCTTACCGTGGAGTTTAAGTTTGCTGTGAAATGTCTTGTGTACAACTTTGGCAGCATATTTATAGACTCCTTAGTCATTGAGGAGAGATAGAGCACCTTGGGACCATAATGAGTTCAGGAAGGCCTTATCTGTCTGGAAAACTGTTAGTATTTGCATTGTCTTAGAGTGGCACTGTTTAATTGTCAGAGGTGCATTTAAGCATCCAGTGCTGTTCTGTATTCACAGTTAGCAGCACAGGGCTTGGATGCCCTAAGCTTTCAGGGAAAGAGGATAATATTTTCTGTCACTTAACCCAATGCTTGTTCTAAGGATTTATTACCTTTTTTTCCAGCTGCAAATGGCTACCCTGCTACAGATGAAAGGTTCTCAGGCAGAATTTGAGCAGCTGGAACGCTTGCAGTCAATGTTGGAGCAAAAGAATGGTGAAATAGAAGATCTTCTTGTGAAAGTGAGGCAACTAGAAAAATTCAAGGTATGTGGTCTGTGATTAAGTGAAGTCACACAATTGGGAGTAACATAGGAGAAAAACTGTGAAAAAATGTCATGTAAACTTGATAGGTATTTATTTCTTTCTGTACCATAAATAGTCAGGAAAGAAAAAGATTGTTTCAGATAGCTGTGGAGTACTTCTATCTGTTGACTGATAAGAGGTTCTGAGATCTGGTTCAGATCTTCAGATGTGTAGAGGGACAGTTTTAAATCTGAGTAGCGTTTTCAAACAGCAAAAAAGAGGTGAGCCTAATGTAACACAGTGCTGATGTGTGTTATTGAACACTTGCTGCACCTGTAACATCTTCAGTAAAGTTTTCATCTAAAAATTGTCAGTGACTTTGGCTGTTGAGTAACAGGGTTTGTCCTTTACCTTTGTGCGTCCAGCTGTTGAAGCATAGAAATAAAGACTTGAAGCAGATTTTTGGAGGGAAAACTAAACGTTCTGTGTTTTCAAGTAAAAGAGGAAGATATTATTTTGCTATTTGGAAACCTTTTGGATTAGGGAGCTTGTTGCTTAATTTTTTTTCTCTCCTTTCATTGTGAGAGAGAACTGCTAGTTTCAATGCAGTTTGGCCTTTGTAGCAAGTTCTTCTGAGGGTTCTTGTGTGTTTAAATGTTTCTACAACGAGGCTTCAATAGAGAGATGCACAGAGAGGTCGACCCAAGGACTTAAGCCAATGTACTTCTGAAAGTTCACTAGTTAACAGCTTAATGTTTTCATTTCATGAGACTTTATATGAGAATATGGAAGAATGTAGAGCTGGTAGCAGCTCAAAAGGAGGAGAGTCTGAAGACGGTTACTACGCTGACTTGCTGCAAATGAAACTCGACAACTCAAAGTAAGTCAAATTGAGGTAGAAACTTTAATAGCACTGGAAGATCCCTTTTTATCTTCCTGCTGCTGGATTTTAAATGTGGATTTTATTTGGAGCAGCTGAATGTGTACTTGACTCTGTACCTGCTGTCTGAAAAAGAATGTCTGAATGACTGTATTTTCTTCCCATCCAGCAAGGAAACCGAAACCTTGAAAAATGAGCTATCTTTGCAGAGAATGAAGGCTTTGTATGAGAGCCAAAGGGTTCTGGAAGTTGAAAGAAAACTCTTTACAAATGAGAGGCATTTGCAAGCTTGTCAGAGTGAGAACATGAATTTGCGAGTTATGCTGGATGAGTTAAAAATGAAATATGAACCTGAAGGTAAAAAGTTATTTTCCATATATATATATATTTATATATATCTATATCTATCCATATATAGAGGGCTGGAACACCTCTACTTTGAGGGAAGGCTCTGGGGAGACCTCATTGTGGCCTTCTAATGTTTGAAGGGAGTCTATAAACAGAAGGGGGAACAGCTGTTTACAAGGGTGGATAGTGATAAGACGAGTCTTTAAAATGAGACGGGAGGTTTAGGTTAGATGTTAGGAGGAAGTTTCTCACCCAGAGGGTGGTGAAGAACTGGAACAGGTTGCCCAAGGAGGCTGTGGATGCCCCATCCCTGGAGGCATTCAAGGCCAGGCTGGATGTGGCTCTGGGCAGCCTGGTCTGGTGATTGATGACCCTGCACATAGCAGGAGGTTGGAACCAGATGATCGTTGCGGTCCCTTTCAGCCCAGGCAATTCCATGATTTTATGATACATGTATAGCAGTAGTTGTAGGTATCTGTTGATGAGAAGTATCAGCTTGCTCAATGCGAGCAGCTAATCTGACCTTTGTAATGTACGTGAAACACTTGGAGGAAAAGCTGTTTGGGAGTGTAAGGTGTAAGTGTAAGTACTGTAGATGAAGTTTTAACAAGAGGCCCACCTGAAAAAACATCTGACACCTGCCTTTCTGCAGAAACAAAGGACTTGCAGTCTCTGGAGGAAGATGAGTGAGGAGTTGTTTGGACAAATTTGTTTTAGTACATTTGTCCAAACCCAAAAGCTTTAATTTTTATTGTATTTGTGGAAGCTTATGTCAGCAGCCTCCAGAACAGTAGATCTGGTGTTTTGCAAGCCTACTTCTGTTGCTCTGCATTGTAATGTAATATTACTAAGAGACTGTGTTCTCTGGAAGGGATGCATGTTATCTCTTAAGAATTGTTGTGAGGTCTTAAGTCAGGTGAAATGTTCTTTACTGGCTTTAATGGTTTTTCTTTACTGGCCTTAATGGTTGGAATGTCATTTTAGACAAGTTAGCCACAAGTTATCTTTGTTTGTGTACACAGAGTACAGCTCTTCTATTTTTTTTTCCCTTAGAGTTACTTAAACTCACTAAAATTAAAAAGAAAAGGGAGAAGATTCCAGTGGATGCTGCTTGTGAGTACTTAGACAGCAAAAATACTCCAGCAAATGAGGCACATCTTCCAAGTAAGGAGGAAGCTAAGATGACTTCAAATAACTTGGAGCAAATTGATTCTTCATCCAAAAAACAAGCGCTCGAAGCATCACCAATAAATGTAGCTCTTCAATCAATGGACAAAGCAGTGGAACCTGAAAGAGAAAGAAAGAGAATTAAAACTAAAGATGACAGTCTTGACACCTGCACGTCATACAGCAGAAGCGGAAGTAATTTGTTGACTTCTAATGCCCCCAGGTCAGTGTCAGCTTCTGTGTGTGGTCAAGGCAATCAGCACAGACCTGCATCTCTTTTCTTTCGCTGCATGAACTATGCTATCCACTTGTTTATCTGTTTCCTCAGTGTTGCATGCAGTGCAATTCCTAAGCTCCGGCTGCCTACCTTCAACCTCTCAAAACCTTTTAGAAAGATTAAAATGGAATAAATCATAAAATTTATGAAAAGGACTCTTGAAACTGCAACTGTTATTGAAATGATGTTCAGGTTAAAGGTGTGTGCATACTGTTACGACTCAGTTGTTTTGCCTTTCTTTCGAAACTCAGACTGTTTTCTGTCATGTAACTGCATTGCATCTCAAATTTAAAAAAACCCCAGCAGTAGGTATCGTGCTTCAGTTTCAGACCTCGTTCTAGCCTTCCTCTATTTCAGATTGAGATAAAAGCCTAAAAAAAAAAAAAAAGTAATTCTTAATCCAAATAAAGCTAACAGAGTTTGCTGTATGCAAGATTATATGTTAATTGTGCTATGAATTCATATTAGCAGGCCACTGCCTTTGCTAACCTGGATGCATGATAACTTGAAATGTAACTGTTAAAACTAAGATGGCGATTGTTTCGTAAATGGAGAAGGAGGTTACTTTTGTTAAAGTGTCTTAAGGCAGTAATTAGTGAACATCTGAATTCTAATAGAAGCAATGCTGTTTCTTTTTCCCCCTCAATTCCTCTTTTCTCCAATTTATAGACATCACTGTATTAAACCTAGTACTCTGGGGGTAATTTCTGGGATGCTTTAGATGATTTGAGCTTATGAAATGATAATATTTGGTAGCAGAAATAACACTCCTGTACTTCTCTTGTTTCCTACCCCCTTTCTCCTTATCTTTTTTCAACTTTATGTTGTGATTGTGCATCTCTAATGTGAGCACATAAGTACTTTAAGTTATCATTCAGGGAGAAAGCAATAGAATGTTTGTCAGGAATATACTGATAAATAAAAGAAAAAAAAAGGTTCTTTCATGCAGCTTCCTTATGGTTTGTTTTCTTTGGCTTTTCATGTAACCCTGATATGAGGCTGGAGATAAAAGGATTACTTGAAAATCTAGAGTGTCTTGAAGCCTAAAGCAGCCCAGTCTAGAATTCTGTTTTATCTGTCTCTCCCACACAATCCAGCTTCCACTGTTTCTTTGTCTCCCTCCTTTAATGTGTATTTTGGCTGTTGTTTTCCAAGATTCCTTACTGAGTTCTCCATAGCAGTAGTTTTTTTACTCACTAGATTCCATGAACCTTCCAATGAGGCCGAGATGTGCCAAAATATTTACTCTGTTTTTAGATACTAAGTTTGTATTTAGTATACAGAAAGCTTTCTTGATAGGTGACTTGATATGGACAAACTGGAGATGCTTAACACTGTCAACAAGAAACTGTTTCCTAACATTCTTAAAAATAGCAGTGTGACTTGAGTTGAGGTTTAAATGTGTTGATTGAGAGAAATGTGTCTGGATTCTCAGCATTCAGAGGGCATTTGTTCCAGAACAGCCTGAAACGTGTTTCAGTTTTGAAACAAAACTGAAGAAAGTTGAATGGTTGTTTAGGGTAGGACTAGGGTAGGGTGTCTTATGTTGAGGGGAAAATGTTGGTGTGAATAACACTTCAGGTCTTACTGACAAATAGCTTTCAGACCTGTGGAATCTAGATTGACAGCAGCTTCCACGATGGAGAATGGCCTGCTGCCTGAGCTCTGTAGTCTGATCCAAAGTGGCATTCAGATGTAGTTGGTTATTTTGACTGGGATCGATCACTCGTGGCTGCTGGATGTGGTTCAGAGGTTGAAAGGAACTGCGCAGTGCAGTCTTATGAAGCTGTCTGCATCAACTGTGAGTGAACGAGCGTTGATGTAGCTACAGCAGTGTGTGCAGGGACCCTTCCTGAGGAGGAAAGAGCAGAGAGGTCAGGCATGGGTGCAAAATGTTGAGAGGAGAGATTTATGGTGTTCTCTATGCGTAAAGGAACAATTGTGTGAACTGGGCAGGAAAATGGAACCTTATTTTTGAATATTTTTCTGAAGGAGGTGAAATGTCTGCAAGCAGTAAATTGTAGGAAAAGGGTTCTGTGGACTGAGGAGGTAAACCTCTTCTGAGCTGGAGGGGGGTTGAGGAAAGGAAAATGTTTTATGGCACTGATGGTTTGGAAATATAGAAAAAGCGAAAGAGGATGAAGCTGTAGTTCAACAAAGGTTTTAATCTTGCACACATAAGGAATAAAATATAATAAGGGAGAGGGGAAACATCTTTCCAGCCCTCCGTAAATCCACCTCCACATCTGGTTTTGAAATGATAGCGGAGTGAGTAAAGGGTAAATCAAGGAAGAAGATTCTGGGCTGTTCAACATCATATCAGTAAAATAGCAAATCCCCAACTAATCATTTCCATAAGGATTACCATTAAGGAATTCCTAAACCTTAACGTTTTTATGCTATATTAAGTAGGAAATCTTGATAAAATCTGGGTATTTGAGAAGCTAGTTTCTTAAATAAGGAATCCCTAGACTGTTTCGTGATGCATGTGGGTAAAACCCTACATGGGGTCGTTGCTGAATGGAAGGGGGCAAAAAGTGTGGGCAGATTTTTTTGTGCAATAATGTGGCAGTGTTACAGCTGCACGGAATGGAATCCCGCAATTGGAGCGTTAACACTTTAACTCCCAGGGCACTACGTGGTGTTATGATGTGGAATACTGAGAACCAGAAAACACAAAACTTACTATGGTGGTTGGTGAAATAAAATGTTGTGTTGTAACACTTAATCCTGAAGTATGAACTTCAGTCGTGAAACTTGCAGCTAAACTGCCGTGGTATCAGATGGTCTTCAGAATATGACTGGAGCTTTCTTGAGGGAAGTGTGGGAGAGGAACGCTGAATTCTGTACTCAAGCACAAGAATTGGACTGTCTGTTAGAACTGAAAAATAAGAGATGTCTTGTGATGCTCCTGAGGAGCCGCTAGGCCAAATTCCCAGTGCATTGGGTGACTTGAGCAGTCAGTAGAACAGTCCAGGTGAAAAGTACAGGTGAGCATATGCTGAGTAGTGTTACTTTTTATCAGCTCATTGCACATGAATGAGCAGTTGTGTTTGTATCTTCAGGAAAGCTGAGAATAGAATAGAAACTCTGAACTGACTTCAGCTGTTGCCCAGGTTGCAGAGAGCAATAGATTTCTCTAAAACTTTTAGGCTAAAAATCTCAGTCTCATTCCATGTATCCTTGTATAACAGGGGTTTGGTTAAGGGAATGCCAAGTCCCCACTTTGGTAGGTTACATAATTTTGGATGGTTGTTCTTAAACTGCTTTTCATTTGCTTTTTATCTTAGCAAGTGTGTTTCAAGGTTGTTTTAAATGGCTTTCTAATATTTACCGTAGGCACACAGAGTATCTGTGTGGAGGTAATGTCAAGGCATTAAAACGAGGATGTTGCTATTAAGAGTTCTATCCATGAAGATGATATCCCTTGAAGTCTGAGTTAATGCAATTCCTGTAACTTCTTTTGTTTTCACCTGTAGTGGAGAAAAAAACTCTGGCCTGTAATTGCCTGTAACAGTGGATGGATTTCCATGATGAATACATAACGTCGTGCCCTACTTGTTCTCTGACTGAAGTATCTTCCTAGATGTGTCTTCAGTGTAGACTTAAATTGAGGTATTTAGTGGAGGACTTCAAAAGTATTAAATACAGATTTTAAACGTATTTGAGGCTCCTGGTAACAGCAGAAGTGTTTCTATGATAGGTAGCAGTCATGGTTGAGTGTATCGAAAGAGTAGGGAGTTTTCTGGGATGCCAGGGGTATTCACTGGTGTTGTCTTCATGTTCTTTATGTAGCTTGCAAAAGTACCTTTTCCAGTGTCACTGCCAGTCTGGGCAGTCATTGCTTCAGACACCGCATAGCTTGATGCTGCGTTGGCATTGCAGTGAACCACGTGAGGGAACTGATCTAGCTGCTTGGTTTCTGTTTCCAAACCCTAAAAAGGGATTCTGACCCTTGAGAACATGGCGTGTTGAGGCTGTAGTTGGAGGGTTTTGTTTTTGTTTTTCTGTTTTAAAAACAAATAAAAATGCTGAGCTGGGAGTCCCTGGAGGGGTGGTGGTGTGAAATGTTACACTTGGACGATTGCTGGGGGAAAAAAAACAAAGCTTTTTTTCTTTTTTAAATAATAATAATAATAAGAAGAAATATTTATTTTTTTTAACTCTATGAGCCTTAACAGCTGAATGTTGTTTGGTTAATTTTGGAATTTAACTGAATACATTTAAGCGTTGTTTCTCATGATCTGTACTGCCCATATCAATTGCAACTTGTATGTGCATGTAGCTGAGCATTTTAAGTATAAATAGCTACATTTTTCTCTCCTGTTCGAACAAGCAGCTGCTCAGTGTTATTGTGAGGCAGTATGATGCTTTCATTGTGAATTGGATTTCCAAACGTACTTTACTCCATCTGCATTTGTTAGATAATTCTGTTTAAATCCTGTTGTGCAACTTTGGAACATATTTACAGTTCTGTTTTTATGCGGCGTTTTGGTTTGCTTGAAGACTTGATTTGCACATTAGTTGCAAATTAATTTTGTTGCAAACCAACATTACTTGGTTTGGGGGATTTTTTTCCTTTTATAGGAAATTCTGCTAGAAATTCTGACAGCTGGACAGCTTGGGGAAGGTGGGAGGTGGGCTTTGGCAGAGATCCTTCCAGGTGGAAGAGAGGAGTGCAAATGAAGAGCACCTACCATAGGAATGTGGTTGGTCAGAAAGTATCTGTCTCTGAATACAGGTGCTAGACTGTAGCACAGTCTGAAATGCAGATTAAACTCTAACCAAGAGATAATTACTCAGTGTGTTTTCTCCTTACTCCTCCTTGAACTGGAGTCTCTTGTGGTCATGCTCTTACTTGGCCACTTGCAAGTTGCAGCACACCTGAAATGGAGTGCAGCTGGTGGAAAGCTGCTCATGGACAAAAGATGGGTTACCCGTCAGAATTACAGGTGTGGGCTGCTTACAAAGTAAGTCCCAGAGCAAACATAGCTGGCTTAGGGGAGATGCACAACAACCCATAGTTGCTTTGTATTGAGACAGTGCTTATAGGAAATAATGTGCAGGGATGAGACGTTAGGTTTGTATTGACGTGTGAAGTGATGTTTAATTTGTGACTTTCCATAAATTGTTTTGCTTTTGAAACAATAATAGTCAATTGTTTGTAGGAGATTGAGAAAGTATGACTATAAACTAGTTTTAATGACATTTGTATGCCTGTTAACTAAAGCATCAAATACTTTTGAGGTCTAAATGCTTTTTAACTCTTAAACAGCATCGTGGCAATTGCCATTGTGTTCCCACCTACATTCATAACAGAATTAAAACAAATCACTGGACAAATGATGTAATGTTGAGCCTGAAGATAAACTTTCCACTTCGTGTTTTCAGATCTTCAGGAACAAAGATAAAGAGGTAGTAATGCAAACCTTGGTTGGAAACCAGGGTGCTGTTTTTTGTGGATTCTTTTTTGTACTGTTAATACAAAAGCTCAACTTTATCACTGTCTGATGTTGCTGGGACTTGTTTTCACTTGGAGATTTGTTTTCATGTGGTATGATTTCCTTTGCATACGTGGCACAAGTAGTGTGTTTTTCTTATAGGCTGATCCCAACCACTCACCACTTTCAGTAAGCTTTATTTGCCAGATACTGCAACAGATAAGAGGAAAAAAAAAAAAAAAAAAGCAATATTGAAGTTACCAAATGAGAAGGAATTATATAAACGATATTTTCCCCTCTTGTTCTCTGCTTGCTCTGTATTTGCATGTGGATGCTCTCTATCCTGGTTGGCTTGCTCATTTTTGCTTTGATCTTTTATTTTAGCTCTGTTTTTTATTAAGTAAATATGTATTTAGAATGGTTGCTTTGCCTGTAGGTTAACAACCGAATCCAGATTTGAAGCTACAGAAACCCAAGATAAGAAGGAAAATGTAATCACGACCAAGAAGAAAACGCAAAAGAAAAAATACACTACATTGCGTGTGTCTTCTAAGCCAACTCCTGAAACGCAGTGTGCTCAGCAATAAATCTGGAAGGAATCTGAATAATTTGGAGTCCTGCTTCAGTAGGAAATACTTCTTGCACATAAACATGCAGGTTCCTGATGCTGATCTGCGTTGTTAAATGAACAGTATGGCTGCATTAATGATGCACACATCTGATGACTTCACTTCCCAGAGGACCCTGCTGAGTGCCCAGCAGCGTCACCTGGTGTCGCCTGGTGCTGAGACTGAGCACTTGTTAGTTCTTGTTTGTTTGAGTCAGCGCTGTTCTGAAAGACAAGCACTTGCTATGGAAGTCACCTAATGTGATAAATGAGGGTTAACCCAAGCAATACCTGGTAGGCAGTGGTGACTAGAAGAAAGCAAAGCTGTCTGTAATTGCTCCTGAATTTCTTCCATTTCCTGGATTCAGATTTCTTAATGTTTTTTCCCCCAATTTGCATCTGCACCTTCACTGTGAGGTTGGTCTGAGAGCTGAATGTGTGAAACTTTCTTCACACGCTTTGTGAGCTGGTATTATTTTGAAACTTTATTTTTACTGATAATTAAAATAAACTTTTGCTTTTTATTCCTTCCTAAGGTTGATCTGTTGCATTGGAGACAAAATACTTTTTTTCTGAAACTGCCATTTCGAGAGAGATTTGACGGCAAGCATTTTGTTTGAGAAATACGACTTAATAAAAGCTGGTAAATCATGATGCGTGTGCCGTGTCTTTGTTCTTAGGAAATGAACTGTTGCATTCAGTCTGATCTATGATGTCTGTGTAATCTGAGAATCTTGGTAGTCTTCTTCCAGCAGGTAAGCAGATACCCAGGGAAGAGTTCTTTCTTCTTGATGTTGACTGCACGTATGAACACCGTGTGGAAGAGACTGTGCTTCTCGTAGTACAAGCAGCAAACATTTCTTTCCACATGGTTAAAGGATTAATTTTGTTTACTGTTACCATATGCTGAGATGCTATTGACATAAAATAAGCAAAGCACTTGGTAGCTTCAGTTAGAGGAAACCTCAAGTAGGTCGTGCATGTGTGTGCCTTAAGTGGGTATATTGCACAATGGATCGATGCAGGGCAGTTACTTTTACATCGAACTGCTGAGCATGTGACAATTGAGTCTGTAAACTGAAGTGACTTGTTGGTGTCACAAGCAAAACGATGTTATTTCAACAAATGGCTCAAACTGCTTAGGGTCATCTAGTTACCCCCAAGAAGTGTTGCTTTACTTGCACTGCTGCTGTTTATTTTGATCATGTAGTTATCTCACATAATAAATGCATGCTTATCATTCTCTTGATATCATTCTCTTGAATTAGAACTAACAGGTGGGAGATGTCTGGAATTCAGACTTCTGTTGCTATGACATACTTAGGGTACTTTCTTTTAAGTTCATGAAAGCTCTTTGTTTATTTTTGTTTTTCCTGTTTTGTTGTATCGGTTGCAGGATCCTTATCTCGAAGACAGGACATTCAAGGGATCAGAAAAATATTTGTAGTGGGACCCTGGTTTGGAGATGAAATTTCTCTGTATCGTTTATTTTCCAAATATAGTAGTCATCTATTTGTGCTAGTTTAAGTGATGAGGGTTTAATAATGGAAAAGAGCCTGGTGTGAAATACCACTTTCCTCAGGACTTATGCCTGCCTCCAATACATAGTGAGGAAGAGCAAAATTCTACAAGATAGTAGATGCCAGTCATGGTCTTTGGGCTAAGCAGAGCATGGGAAGGGGGCATTTGCTGCAGTAGATTCAGAGCAGGAAGGGAGATGTGTTATAGTTCAAAATGCACAGTAAAATGAAATGGTTCAGCCTCAAGATCCAGTTTCACGAGAGACAGTTGAAAATGAATGTTCAAATGGAGAAGAGTAGTTTGGGACTCTGCAGCTGAAAGTGTCCTTAGTTGTAGATAATCACAGTTACTCAGAATCTAGCTCATGTTAGTAAGTCTAACATGGAATGCCTGCCAGTGTGCTGTTTTAGCAAGTTATTTTTTTCTCATAGATTGCTAGCAAATCCTTCTACTATGCATCATGAAGGCTTTTTTATTCTCTCTAGAAATATATTTTGGGGTACCTTGTGTAACAGAGAAGAAATCTGGCAGCTGGGACTTCTTATGACTGCTGGTTAAAATTGAGAACTGGCCTGTTGTGTTATCAGAAATTTCCTGACAGATGCAGCACAGCACCTTTAAAACCGTTCATCTGAAGAACAGTTGTGACGCTGTTGTGATACGAAGAACTTCTTTCTTGTGTGGGTGATGGAGCTCTGGAACAGGCTGCCCACAGCTGTCTGGGCACCTGGCTGTGCTCCCTGGAGACCCCTGCTCCCTGGGGCAGCTCTGGAGATCCCTGCCAACAATCCAGGTCTGTGATTCTGTAGTATCCTAAGGGCAGGATGGTTGTATGGGTTTGTTGTACCATGCAAGGCAGAAAGAAAATATGAGTGTCTTCTGGTTTTCACATATTTTAAACTGCAAGTAAAGAACATGAATGAGTGTCGTGTATTTGACCCTTATCCTGTATGTTGTATGTAGTCCAGTCAGTGAACAGCTGTACTTCATCTCTGCGTCCCAAAACGTTGTGTAGGTTACCTTGCATGGCAGCCTGTGTGAAAGTAGAGGCTGTAAGTATTCATATTAAGCTAGTTGTTGAAATTTTGTTTAGATAATGAGTCAGGGTAGTGCTGCTTTGCTCAGAGAATAAAGAGAAACTCTGCAAATGTAACATTGCAAGATGGGACGGGTGGAGTTTGAAAATGTGGTTTTGTCTTTGCCTCGTTTCTCACATGAGAATGTGACTGTAACATAAAAACAAAACCTTTCCAGAGCGGGTTAAAAGGAAGTAGTTTTTAAGATGTCTTGTGGAGTCGGACGATTTCGAATGTTTCTGATTTAGTTGAAGACGAGAGCTCTTGGCAGCATGAAGGTGTAGTTTGGGTGCCTGGGCTTTGCTCACAGTACCCCTCCAGTGAGATGCAAGCTTAGGCGTCGTGCAGGAGAGAAGTGTGGTGGTTTTGTTTCTTTTTGCTTGCTGATGTGTTACAGCCAGTGTCACGCAGCAGAAACACCCAGTATGGGTTTCCCCTCCCCCACGGCACTTGGTACAATATCTCAAGTTGAGAAAAGAGGAAGGAAGCTCAGAAGAGCAGCAAATCTCGCAGAACCCATACAGCTGCCTCGACCAGCTTCTGTCTCCTCCTCGTCATCAGTAACAGCAGCTGAGAAACAGATTTGCTTCCAGCTCCTTTTTTTGGTTGTCCATCTTGAAACCTGCATTGCACAAACCTCGTTTTCCTCCGTGTTGGGCGCCCTGCGGAGCGGCGCAGACTGATGCGTGATGGCAACGTGGCACAAGACAGAGAAGAGCGGCGTGGGTATGTAACAGTGAGCTGCCTTCTGAGTTTTGTCCTCATAACTTCTGAGCAGGATGTGGGTAGGTGTTATCTCTGGTGTGAGAACACCCTCCGCTTTACCATGGTGGTTTAACTGAAATGGTCAATTTCATACCAAATTCTAATTTTCCAGAGAGAGCAACAAGAAGCATGTGAATGCCAGTTTGGAGAGGTACTGCTTCTGCCCCACCGTGCTCTCACTGCTCTAAAACATTGAACTGCCACAGTAATGCAGCTTTTCCTACCTCTGTTTTAGAAACACGTGGAACAATTGCTGCTCATTCAACAAGGAGCAGCTTGAGGTACAGTGGACAGATGTCAGGGAAAGGGAATCCTGCAGTTCTCCTCAGAGAACATTAAGTTGTCATTTGGGGTTAACATTACTGAAAAATGTGCATGCGAGTTAGTAAGTGCTTTTTGGAAGGAGTGTCCTTTTCCAATAGCAGTTTTCCATAAAATTAATAATTTGCATAAAGGACTGAATTGCAATTAAAAAAAAAACAAAACAAACAAAAAAAAGGCCTTAAAATTAGCAATCAGCACTGAAGCACTCAAAGGTAATTCTTTGAAGTTAACTGTAGGTTTCCAGTACGGAACATGGTTTAGTTTATGCTTCCATTAGTTTGTTACATGCTAGTGTGTAGTTACTAGCCTGGAAGCCCCAAATTACTGTAAAATCTTTTCATTTAAATTGGGGTGTAATATTTGATATTCATTAAAAGCATGAGCAGAACGGCTTCATGAACTAAAGTGAATCAAGGAATTAATAAGAGGAAAAGAATGTCTTCCTGTTCAACTACCATGTGCAGCAGTGGCAGAACTGTGAAACAGAAGGAGCTTGTTCTGGTGGCAGTATATGAAAATGAATGTGCATAAAGCTCTTCTGAGTTTTACAAATAATCTCATGTACTTCATGTAATTCTGCACTTTTTTCCTAAAAGTTACTGACCCGAAGGACTGCGTTTGCTGGATGAGTGTCTGCGTGCCTACTGGCGATGGCGTATCTTGCATGTGGATGGAGTGCTGGATACTGAGTAGCTCTTCATAAGGATAATATGGAACAAGCTTCGTTTCTGGGGGCTTTTTACAGGGCGTTATTGTGGGTTGGAATGATTTACGTAATTACAGAGAAGTCGAGCTTTTCTTGCACTGGTTTTAAACAGAACGGGAGACCATTATGTAACCTGGCAGTGTTCAGTGTGATTCAGTGATTTCTGTGTGCACGCTGCCCCAGTGCAGCAGCCTGGCACGTCTCCTGAGGAGGTCTGCACTCTGACGGCTGTCATTTGTGCCAAGGTCACTGCTGGGCGTTGGTAGCAGGGGGAGTTTGCCAACTGATCACTTCACAGCCAGTGTGATTGCTGAGTGTATAAAAAGCTGATGTGACCTTGTAGTCTTTGTGATATCTGAGAGCTGCAGTGAAGAACACCTGATGTCTTTCACAAACTTTTTTATTTCATAAACTGGTAATCAAATGCAGAGATGTTTGTTTTCATAAAGGCAAACAATGCATGTTGATTGGATGCTTCTTTGCTTAAAATTCAGTATTCAGAATAAGTAGTTTTGTATAGCAGTAGTCCAATCTATCTCTGGCTTCAGACTATTTAATTCGAAATAGCAAGATGAGCTAAAATCACTTAGTGTGTTTTAGTTGTGGTCCATAAGAATCAATCAAGAGAAGACACATAATGACAGTATTTCAACATTATTTCAACTATAGAGATGACATGGGGAATTGTAAAACTCAGAAGGGCTGGTTTTACTGCACCTTGCAGTGGAACTGTGCTCTTGCTGCCTTCTCAGAAGTCATCATCTCTAAGCATGGCACACCCTTCTTAGAGTACAGGCTGTGTGCAGCTCATAGGGCGCTATCAGTGCAATTACAGTTATGTGCAGGTGCCATTTTCTGAAATGTGTGCTAGAAATATTGCTGCTACTCCTCCCACCCATCTCCCTGGTTACTGCTGTCTCCTCAAATCTGATTACTGAGGTTTAAAACAGAGCCAGGAAATTATGAGAATGATTTATTAGCATAAGAAGTCTTTAGCTGATGTGCTAAAGACAGTTTGTATTACTCATATTAGTCCCGTGAACATTGCAATCTGTTCTGTCATAAGTCAGATGAGGGGCTTCAGAACTTGGGGAATTTTCAAGCACCAGCAATCCAGCATAGCTTGTCAGCTAATGGCCAGCACTAAGGGAAGACTGACTTGCTCTCATACAAGTGTCCAGGTCACTGAAAGTAGCTTAATGTCAGAAAGAGTGAAGGTGAGGACAAAGCAAACATGAATATTTCCTTTTATTTGCAAAT